CCCTGCGGCGCCGCTCGAACTCCTCCTCCACCAAGGGGCTGACCCCGAACTCCTGATCCATCTCCTCCAGCAGCTTGGCCTGCAAAATTCCCAGTTCAGCCAGTCCGGGACACTGGGGGGGACTGGGACACCCCGGGGACACCCTGGGGACACCCCGGGGACACCCCGGGGACACCCTGGGGACACCCTGGGGACACCCCGGGGACACCCTGGGGACACCCTGGGGACACCCCCGGGGGCTCCCAAAAAACGGGGATTTGGGAATTTCTCGTTAGGGTAAAAAACCGAGCTCAAAATCCTCATTTTTGGCTCCAAAATCGGCCCCAAATCCAGGCCGGTGCTGCCCAATTCTTGAATTTTTATGGATTTTGGGTTTTTTTGGGGAAATGTTCCCAGAAATCAATGTTAGTTTTGAGGTGATTTCTAAAAAAATTGAGGGAGAATCGAAATTTTGGGGTCAAACCCCAGGATTTCAGCAGCACAAGTGAAAAATTGAATTCAAAACTAACCTTAAAAAATTAAAATAAAAACTCAAAAAAATTTCAAAAAAAATCAAGGCATTAAAAAAAATAAACCCAAAAAAACTTTTTAAAAATTTAAAGACCTCTACAAATCCAAAAACGTTCAAAGAATGTTTAAAAAAATCAATATAAATTTATAAAAAAATGAAAAAAAATGAAAGTCTCAAAGCCCCATTTTTAGAAATATTTTGAGGGAATATCCCTAAAAAATTACATTGAAACTCAAAATCTTTAAAAACTGACAAGCAAATTTAATTCTGGACTCAAAATTCCTCATTTTAACCCAAAAAAGTATTTGAGGAAAAATATTTGAAGCCAAAAATCTTTAAATTTTTAGATAATTTTAAACGAAAAACTTTAGGATTAAATTAAAATTTTTAGGCAGTTCCAGATTTCTAAAAATCCAGATCATAATCAAGCTTTTAAATGCAAAAATCCACTAAAAAAATTCCAAAAAAATCAAAATTTTAGCCGTAAAACCGCTAAAAATGGGGGTAAAAGCTCGGGGTTTTTTGCTGGGATGGGGGGGTTTGGGGTTTTTTTTTGGGGATTTTGGGATTTTCGGGGATTTCCTGGGATTTTTGGGGTCCCTCCCCACCCTTTTTTCCGCCAGTTCTTTCTCCCTCTGCAGGGCTCGGCTGCGCTCGATCCACGCGGCCGCGTCGTCCAACCACGGCTCCTCCTCCCCCAGCGTCTTCACTTTCCTTTGTTTGGCCCCAAAAAAAAATAAAAAAATCAAATTTCGGCCTCCCCCGAACCCCCAAAACCTTTCCTCGCTTCCCAAAAAAAAAATCTCAATGCCCTCATCCCGAATCCTCAAATTTTTTTTTTTTTTTTCTGCCTCAAAATCCCCTCCCAGACCCCCCCAAATCCCCTCCAAACCCCCCAAAAAAACCCCAAAATTCCCCCCGTACCCCAGTTTTTGGTTCAGCAGCCGTTTCTCTTTGGCTGCCGCCAGTTTTTCGCGGATTTCCTCTCGCTGCCGCAGCGCCAGGGGATTGATCACCTCGGCGGCCACCGGGTCCTCCTTGGTGCCAGCCTCTGCCGGGGGCAGCGCCCCAAAAACGGGAACAAATCAGGGCCAGGACACCCCAAAAACGGGAATAAATCAGGGCCAGGACACCCCAAAAACCGGGCACAAATCAGGGCCAGGACACCCCAAAAACGGGAATAAATCAGGGCCAGGACACCCCAAAAACGGGCAAAGATCACCCCAAAAACCGGCCCGAAAATACCCCAAAAACGGGCAAAAATCACCCCAAAAACGGGCAAAGATCACCCCAAAAACCGGCCCCAAAATACCCCAAAAACGGGCACAAAATACCCCAAAAACCGGGCACAAATCAGGGCCAGGACACCCCAAAAACGGGCACAAAATACCCCAAAAACCGGGCAAAAATCACCCCAAAAAACCGGCCCCAAATCAGGGCCAGGACACCCCAAAAACGGGCAAAGATCACCCCAAAAACCGGCCCCAAATCACCCCAAAAACCGGCCCCAAATCACCCCAAAAAACCGGCCCCAAAATACCCCAAAAACGGGCAAAAATCACCCCAAAAAACCGGCCCCAAATCAGGGCCAGGACACCCCAAAAACGGGCAAAGATCACCCCAAAAACCGGCCCCAAAATACCCCAAAAACGGGCACAAAATACCCCAAAAACCGGACACAAATCACCCCAAAAACCGGGCACAGATCAGGGCCAGGACACCCCAAAAACGGGCAAAGATCACCCCAAAAATGGGCACAAATCACCTCAAAAACCGGCCCCAAAATACCCCAAAAACGGGCAAAAATCACCCCAAAAACCGGGCACAAATCAGGGCCAGGACACCCCAAAAACGGGCACAAAATACCCCAAAAACGGGCAAAGATCACCCCAAAAATGGGCACAAATCACCCCAAAAACCGGCCCCAAAATACCCCCAAAACGGGCACAAATCAGGGCCAGGACACCCCAAAAACGGGCCCCCAACTCGGCCAAACCAGCCATAAAACTGGCCACTGAATCAGCCCCAAAATCAGCCCTGAACACCCCAAAATCCCCCCAAAATCAGCCCTGAACACCCCAAAATCCCCCCAAAATCAGCCCTGAACACCCCAAAATCCCCCCAAAATCAGCCCTGAACACCCCAAAATCCCCCCAAAATCAACCCTGAACACCCCAAAATCCCCCCGAAATCCCCCCGAAATCCCCCCGAAATCCCCCCGGCCCCGGCGCTCTCCCTCTCACCTTTCTTGACCGTGGTTGTTTCCAGAGGTTTCAGCCCCAGCTTGGCCCGGAGTTTACTGGGAACGGCAAAAAGGGGGGTCCGGGGGGGTCCGGGGGGGTTTTTTTGGGGTGGGGGGTCCGGGGGGGTCCTGGGGGGGGGTTTTGGGGGGTGGGGACGCCCCAAATTTTGGGGGGATTGAGGGGAAAATGGGGAGGGTCTCACTTGGTTTCTTCCACGCTCAGGGAGGATTCGGCTGCTGCGGATTTCGGAGGAGCTGAGGGAATAATTAACGAGTTATTGTTAATTAATTCGGGAGAGGGGAGCTCCTGCTGCACCCAAATCACCCCCATGGGCCCCAAAATCGCCTTTAACCCCCCCAAAATCCCCTTTAACCCCCCCAAAATCCTTTTTTCCTCCCCAAATTCTCTCTGGGAGCCCCCCCATACCCCAAATCACCCCCAGGACCATCAAAAAAAACCCCAAAATCTCTTTAATTGAACCCCAAAATCCCCTCCAGCCTCCCCAACTCTTCCAAGACCCCCTCCCCACCCCCCAAAATCACCTTCAGCACATCCCGAGCCCCTCCAGGCACCCCCAAATCCCCCCAAATTCTTCCCAGACCCCTCCCCGCCCTCACCGGGGTCCTCCCGCTCCTCCTTCCTCTCCCTCTTGGCTCTCCGCTCGTTCTCGGAGCCGCCCCGGCCATGGCCGCTCCTCCCGGGCTCCTCGGCCCCTCCGCGCCGGGAGGAACCGGAGCCTCCCCCGGAGCCCCCGCGCTCCCCCCGGGAGCGGCTGCGCTTCCCGCGCCGTTCCCCGCCGCGGTGCCGGTGCTTGCGGTGCTCGCGGGTCCGCCCCGCGTTGCCGCCGCTGCCTGTCCCGGTCGCTCCCGGGGCCTCCTCGCTCCCCTCGGCCCCGCCGCGCTCCCGGTGCTTCTTGGAGGCGCCCATGGCTGCGCCACCACTTCCGGGAGAGAGCGGAACTTCCGCTCGTTACCATGGCGATGCTTCCGGTGCGCCGCCACTTCCGGCGGGGCGCGGTGCTGATTGGGCGAGGTGTAGGCGGGAATGAGAGGGCACTGTGGGATGAACCATTCCCCACGCGGAGGGGGGAGCAGGGTGATTGTAGCGCAGTCCTGTCCCCTCACAGAGGGCTGGAAACCTCCGCAAGAGGCACCGGGGATCTTTCAACGCGGCTCCCGGTGAGGACGCCCCGTGCGGGCCACCGGGCGGGGAGCTCCGTCAACAGCGCAGCCCTAGAGTACAACAAAATGGCGGCGCCCGGCAGAGATGAATAGAGACTTTCATAACAGCAAAATGGCGGCTGTTTGGGGTGCAGCAAAATGGCGGCGTAGGGGGGGTCCCCGAAAAACACGGGGGTGTGGAGAAGCCCCTGGGAGAAGGAAAGGGAGCGATCCCCACAGCTGGCGTCCCGCTGAGCCACGGTGGGAGTCAGAGACGCCAAACTGCGCTCTCTGGGGCTCCGTCCCGCCCCGTTCGCCCCGGGGCGTGCCCGGCCCCCCCCCCGCCTCGTGCCCTTTGATCCGCCCTGCCCGGGCGTCTCGGCGGCGCCGGGGGGCGGTGCCGGGGGCGTGGCCGGCGCGGAGTGGGCGTGGCTTTTTCGGGGTATAAAAGGCTGAGCCGAGCAATTCCGCTCCTGTCACGAGGTTTGTCTGAAGGTACCGCCGGCCCTGAGGGGGTGCGGGGTCCAGGGGCCATTTCTGGGGAGCACAAACGGCTTTTGGCTTCCCCGTGAGAATATCGGGGTGTCCCGGGGCTCCTTGAGTGTGCGGGAGGGGCTCGAGATCCCCCCAAAGCCACATTTGGTTGTTCAAGGCGGGGCCCTCTAAGGGCACTGGGGGAGGCCGCGAGCCCTTGAAAAATTTCGGGGTCCCCGAGGGGGTTGTCAGGTACTCAAGAGGAGCTTGAACACCCCCCAGAGGAGATTTTTGGGGTGGCCAGGGGGATCCTCAGAAAAATACCGGGGCGATCTTGAGGTGCGGGGATCACCTTTGGATCTCTAAAGATATTTACGCCCCGCGGGGGCAAAGTCGGGGTTCAAAGCCCGTATTGGGGGGGAAAGTTCAACCCCGCCCAAAGGCTTTGGGGGTGCCCTGGGGGAGTCCCTGACCCTTTCGGGGCCCCCCTTTAACCGCAGATGGATCCCGAATCTCCGCCCCGCGAGCTGGAGCTGTCGGCGCTGGAGGCCGAGAAGGAGCCGATGGCGGCGGCGGCCGAACCCGACCCGGAGCTGGGGACCCCCCCCCAGGCTCCCTCTCCCCACCGAGACCCCGTCCCGGGCCCCGAATCGCGGCCGGGCGGCGAGAAGAACGGGCTGGTGATGAAGATCCCCCCTGAGGAAGAGGAGGAGGCGGCTTTGGCGGGCGCCGGCGTCTCGGGGAGCCCCAAATTCACGGGGCTGGGCAAGGAGGAGCTGCTGAGGGAGGCCGGGACTCCGCTCTGGGCCCGGGCCCGCCTGGTTCTGCTCATTCTCTTTTGGGGGGGCTGGATCGGGATGTTGGGGGCCGCTGCTGCCATCGTGGCCCAGGCCCCTCGCTGCCAGCCCCTGCCCAACAAAGGCTGGTGGGAGCTCGGGGCGCTCTACAGGGCCCCCCCCGAGGCCTTCGGGGGCAATCTGAAAGGTGAGGAGGGGTCTCTGGGGGGTTTACAGGGTCCCATGAGGGGTTTGGGGGGGTTTAGAGGGTCTTTAGGGGACCTTCAGGGGATTAAAAGATTCCCCAGAGGATGGCTGGAGGGTCTGGGGGCTTCCCATGGGGGGTTTGGGGTTCCCATGGGGATTTTGGGGGTCCTAAGGGAACCCTCAGGGGATGGAAGGAGTCCCCAGAGGATGGCAGAGGGAATTTGGGGGGTCCCCAGGAAGGTTTGGGAGGGTTTGGGGGTCCCCTGGGAGCCTGTGGGGGGGTGGGAGGCCACATTTGTGCCCCCCCCCAAAAGGAATCCGAGGATGTTTTGGGGGGGATTCAGAGGAGGGGACCCCCCTATTTCAGACCCTCCCTCCCATAAAGGGGCCTGGGGGGAGTGACTCAGCAATTCTGGGGGGTCCCACCCATTTGAGGGGGGTTCTTGGGGGGTCCCACCCACTTTAGGGGAGTTGAGGACCTCTGGCAATTCCCCAGAGCCTGAGAGAGCCCCCAAAATCTTGGGGATTTTGGAATTTTTTTCCCCAACTCTGAGATGATTTGGGGATCCTGGGGGGATTTTTTGGGACCCCTGGGTTGGTTTTGGGGTGCCAGGGTGGGATTTTTGGGGTCCCCGTTGAGTGTTGGGGATCTCTGAGGACATCAGGGACCCTGGGAGGATTTTGGGGTTGCTCTGTTGGGTCACATTTGGGGTTCTCACCCCCTTTTTCCTTCCCCTCCAGGTGTGGAGAAACGTTTGGGGTACCTGAAGGAGAAGCTGCAGGTGGGGGGGCTGGTGCTGGGCCCCGTGTACCCCCCAAAACTCCCGGATGACAAAATCCCGGCCCTGAAGGAGCTGGACCCAGCCCTGGGCACCTTCCAGGACTTCACTGCCCTGCTGGAGGCAGCCAAGGACAAAGGTGGGACCCCAAAATCGGGGGGGGACACGGCGGAGGTGAACCCCAAAATTTGGGGTAAATGGGGGGGAGGGCAAAGTGGAGTGAGACCCTGAATTTGGGGGAGGGGGAGCCCCAAACTGGGAGGGGCACAAAACTGGGGGGTTCCGGGGTTGCCCTGACCCCCGAAATTTCCCCTCCCCCCAGGGCTGAAGGTGATCCTGGACCTGACCCCCAACCCCTCTGGGGATCCCGTCTGGGGGGAGGCAGCAAAGGACCCCGAGGTGCTCGAGCAGGTCAAGGTGGGTCTGGGGGAGGGGGATCCCTGGGGTGGGGTTTGGGGGGTGCCCTGAGACCCCCCCTGACCCCCCCCGTGCCCCCCCCAGGCCGCCCTGACCCATTGGCTGAAGCAGGACATTGCTGGAATCTTCCTGGATGGAATTGAGGAGCTGCAGGTGAGGGGGGGCAGAGCTGGGGGTCTCTGGGGGCAGATTTGGGGGTCTCTGGGGGCTGTGGGTGACCCCCGTGTCCCCCCAGGCCTCCCTGGTGGCCGAGTGGAGGAACCTGACGGAGCAGGAGCCGAGTCCCAGCGGCGTGGCCAGGTCTGAACCCCCCAAAATTTATCCCCCCCAAACTCCCTGAGCCCCCACAATCTGCTGCCCTCATCCCAGAACTCCCGGACCCCCAGTTTTGGGGTGCTGGGGGTGCTCCCCTCACTTTTTCTCCCGATTTTTTGGGTGCTCCCCTGACCCCGTCCCGTTCTCAGGGTGCTGGTGGGGGGCACCCGCCTGCAGGAGCCCTGGAAGGTGCCCAGGGACCCCTGGGGGCCTCAGCTGCTCCTGGGGCCCTTCCTGAAAGCCCTGGAGCCCAAACCCGAGATGGAATCCCCCGAGGGCGCCCTCAGGGACCTCCTCAACTTCCTCAGCTTCAACTCCTCGGTGGCGCTGGGCTGGAGCGTGAGTTTGGCACCCAAAAACCTCCCTGGCACCCCCAAAAACCCCTTCAGGACCCCCAGAATCCCCCCCGGCCTCCCAGGCTCAACCCTTCCCCATGGGAACCCCAAATTCCCACAGATCCCCCCAAGCCCCCCCAGGACCCCCCAAAGTCCCCCCAGGGACCCCCAAATTCCCTCCCCGCCCCTCTCCCAGTCCCTCCCAGTCCCTCCCAGTTCCGCACCCAGGCTCAGGTCCAGCACGGCATCCGGGGGGGCGTTGTTGGGGGTGGGGGGCGGGGGTCGCCGAGCCCCCCCCCCAAAATCTCGGCGCTGGGTCTGCTCCAGGGACAGAACCAGCCCGCGCTGCTCCACGCGGCTGGGGAGGGGGCGTCAGCCCGAGACCCCCCCCGAGGGGTTTGGGGGGTCCCAANCCCCAAACCTCCCAGAGACCCCAACCCTGACCCTTTGATCTCCTTCCTCCCATCTCAGGACCCCCAAAACCCTGAGCCCACCCCCACTGAGACCCCCCAGTCATTCCTGGGATCCCCCGCCCCCTCCTCCTCTACAGCCCCCTCCCGTTTTTCGGGTCCCCCTCCCGTTTTTCGGGGGTCCCGGGGGTGACGCTGTGCCCGTCCCGCAGGTGGGGTCCCCGTGGGAGGCCTGGGTGAGCCCCAACCTGCGGCTGCAGCAGCTGCTGCTGCTCTGGGGGCTCCCCGGGACCCCCGTGCTGAGCTACGGCGACGAGCTGGGCATGGGGCGGCCGCTGCGGAACCAGAAGGTACCGGGGAGGGGGGGTTTGGGGGGCTGGGGGGAGGAGCTGGGGGGTCCCGGGGGGGTTTTGGGGGTCCCGGGGGTTTGGGGTCACCCCTGACCCCAAATTTGCGCCGTTTTTCCCCAGCTGGAGTCGATGCGCTGGGGAGACATCGAGGGATTCCAAAATGGCAGCGACGGCGCCAAGGTGGGCGTGGCTTCCGGCTGTGATTGACACGCGGTGGGGGCGCGGTTTGATGGCGTCACTCTGGGGTTTATGGTCTAAAGGAGGCGGGGCTTCATTGGTCACGCCTACCGTGGGCGGGGCGCTCCTGATTGGGTGGGTCCCACAAGGTGAGAGCGGCCTTAAAAGGGCAACGCATCCTTAAAAGGGCGACGCCACGCAGCCCGTCCTTAAAGGGCCAGCGCCTCATTGGGTCCCCTCGAGGCCGCGTTTCGGGGTCCCCCCGGCCCCCCCTGAGCGCCGCCCCCTCCTCGTCCCTTGCAGCCGCCGCCGGAGCTGGAGCTGTGCACGGCCCTGGCCTCGCTGCGGGCCCGCGAGCGCTCGCTGCTGCTGGGGGAGGCCCGGGTGGTGCCCGCGGGCTCCGCCATCGCCGTCCTGCGCTTCTGGGACCAGAACGAGCGGTTCCTGCTGGTGCTGAACCCGCACGGCACCGACCTGAAACCTTTCTCTGTCAAAAGACCCCCGGGGGAGGCCGGGACCCCCGCGCTGCCCCCCCAGATGCGGCTGCGTTACAGCAGCAGCTCCGGCGCGCAGGGCGGGGAGCAGCAGCTGCAGCTGGAGGAGATGAAGGTGGCGCCCTACGAGGGGGTCCTGCTCAGCTTCCCCTACAGCCCCGAGTGACCCCAGAGCCCCCAG